AAGGAGCTTAGACAGGCGGAGACTGCGTACAGGTCACGGAGGCTCTAGGCCTCACACACACAGATCCTGATTCACTTCAAACCCGAAGATGAAGGCGACATTTCCTCCTTACCCTTGGCAATTACCCACAAGATTACACGGGGTCAGAACCCAGAAGGCCGTGACCTACAACCCGTAAGATATTTACAGCTGTAAGCAATAAACCAATTTGATCTCGATTAGTGAATCATGATGCCGGCATAATAAATAGTCTTACATCAACGCGACGTTCGCACTGGAAGATTAGGCAATGAGGCAGTCTCATCGAGTTCTGTCTTACTTCATTATTCCCGAGTTACTCTAGACGAATGTTGCTATAGCACCATTAAACAGGCCACAAATGAGTCTCTCGGTCTTTCTCCAGTGTTTACTAAACGTAAACACCACGCAAAGTCAGCAGCTGATTACATAACCTCTTAACCGACCTACAAGAAGCGATCTCGGGTTCGTTCGCGGCCACGCGGATGTGCACGTATACACACGTGTTTCGGAGGAACTGACGCCCTGAAGACAAGGCCAGTGCGGCGTGTATCGCTCCACAAGGACGCCGAGTGTTTAGACAGGCCACGACAAATAATATCGGCTGATCGCTGCGTGAAGGTCACACGTCACAATGACAAGCCTATTCTGAGAGCGGCGATAAGATAGCGCCTAGTGCCTCAAAGTTTTCGCTGCCTCACAGAGACGCGCTAATCCACGGCTTACTGGGAATCATAAAGATGGCTTTCCGCAAGGTAGGTTCAAGGGATTCTGTGTTTATCCGCGGACGGAAGCAGGAATTCTTACTTTTAAAACTCGCATACTTAAACACCATCTAACCCGTAAAGTAAATAAAAACAGTGCAGAATATTAGTGCAATTTTACAGTGCATGTGGCCTCATCCAGCAAATGCTAAATGGCAGTGTTCATTCAAGTTTTATTAAATAAATACGTAGGAATGTGAATATTGACGCATAAAAAAAAGGTTGCTTATTTAAGCCGTTCCCGTCCGGAAATGAAATACTTTAAGTAAGAAACATTTTCCAGCAACTGGCTGTGGGAGCAGCGGCAAACCTAGGTAGCATTTCATCAGGTATGAGTCTGGGGTTCTCCGCCGTGGCGCTACCCGCCATGCAAGCAGCCCACCACACACCGCACGTGTCCGAAGAACAAGCCTCATGGATAGGTGAGTTAGTGAGCGTCTGCAAAAGTTTCCGGGATCAGACAAGTATGGAAAATGTAATAGGATTTCAGGGCGGTGAACGTTTCGGAGGACGTCCCCATCTCCACTTACACCGTGAAAAAGGACAAGATATGTCCCTCCGAAACCGTTGGTAACCCTCTACAAGACTGCATGGCGCCACCACAGTCCAGAAGCCCACAAACCGAACGCCACAGGACGGCTGGCGCAGACACGTGAGCGTTGAGCATTTTGCATGCATCTTAAAGCACTCGGTGTTCTTCGGGTTCCATAAAAACAAGGGGCCCTTCTTGAGCGCCTCAAGAATGAAGAAAGCCTCTGCCCTGTGGAGTTAGTAGCGTGTCTGTTGCAGCTTCTCTGGTGTCCCTCGGGATGCCAGCGGGCTGTCTGTTGATGAGTCCACTTCTGGACGGACTCGGTCGCAGGCGCACTCTGATGGTGGTCAACACGCCCGCTGTGCTAGGCTGGCTCCTCATCGCCACGGCCTCCCGCAGCGATCCCTGGTTCTTCTACCAGGTGTACGTGGGTCGATTCCTGACGGGGCTCGCCGTGGGTCTCGTCGGCACCCCGGCAGTTGTCTATGCGGGCGAAGTGCTGCAAACGACCTGGAGGGCCGTGGTGGTCACGTGGCCCTCGCTAGGTATGTGGGAAACATTGACATTGAGAATCGTCTTCGTACTGCGTGCCCTGCATCTCATTGCCATGGCAATTCTCTTGCGTTTCAGGGTTATCCCTCGGGATCGTGATCGTGTACGTAATGGGGTCGCTCTTCCAGGAGAACTGGCGCTTCGTGGCAGGCACATGCTGCTTCTTTCCGGCCGCCTCCATCGCCGCGGTGTATTTCCTGCTGCCCGAGAGCCCCGTGTGGCTCGTGTCGCGGGGCAGGGCTCAGGAAGCTGAAGCCACCATGAGATACGTCAGAAATGTGCCTCGAGAAGACGACCTCCCGGAGGACTTGCAGCAGGAACTGGATGCTATGATGAACAGCAGCACGCGAATGGAGAGGAACAGCAGCTGGAAGGACACGCTCAGCTTCCTCAGGAGACCCGAGGCCTACAAGCCGCTCCTCATATGAACGCCTTCTTCTTCTTCCAGCAGTTCTCTGGCATATTCGTCGTCATCCTGTACGCCGTGACGATTGTCAGGGAGACGGGAGCGCACGTCGACGGTTACCTAGTAACCGTACTCATCGGCGTCTCGAGGTTGGTCATGTCCGTCGTCATCGGCTACGCGTCCACGCGGTGCGGACGTCGCCTGCTCTGCAACATTTCCGGAGTGGGCATGGCGCTGTCTGTGGGCGTGCTCGCCGGGTTCCTGAGTCTGACTCACGACGGAATCATCGGCCGTGAGGCGGCTGCGTCGTACGGATGGGTTCCCATCACAGCGCTTCTTCTGTCCGTCTTGACGGGAAATTTGGGCTTCCTGACGCTCCCATTTGCGATGCTGGGGGAAGTTTTCCCTGCCAAGATACGGGGATGGGCGAGCGGTGTCACAACGTTCATAGCTACCGTCTTCTCCTTCCTGGCTATCAAGCTCTTCCCTCAGATGAAGCACTGGATGGGCTTTCACAACGTGTTCACTTTCTACACTGCGGTGATTGCCACGGGGACCGTCACCATGTACTTCTACCTGCCTGAGACGCACGGGAAGACTCTGGAGGAGATCGAGCAGTGCTTCAGGGGTGGCGACAGGCCTGCAGGCGGAGACAAGGCGGCCGAGCAGCTCGTGGAGAAAGGGTGACGGAAGCGTCAGTTTCGTCGGGGTTCGCGGATTATTAGTGTGTAGTCCTGTTAAAGTTGGCAGCAAAATGATTCTTGAACATCAGAGTGCGTGCGTGCAGAATCCAGCAGTACAAGACACGCGGCTGGCTGTTCAGTTCAGCGTCCTTTCTGAGGGCAAGAGTGGTCTACAACTTCGGGCATCTCGTTTCTGAAGGAGGCGGGTCACGGATGCGCCCCGTAAATCAAAAACTTCCTCGTTTTGTAATATCGCAATTTCCTCAAGTGCTCTACACAATTATTCTGTCCCAAAGTTTTATTTATTTATTTATTCATTCATTCACAAATAATTGTAATTCAAGATTTCCAGGGCGATATTCGCCCTGATGACGGAGGCAGTATGACCTCTGAAACGTTGGTTAACATCGACCAGACTACACGGCGCAACAACCCAGAAGACAGAAATCCTCATACTCACCGCTGTGAAAACCTCAAATCTTACAATTGTAATTCACGCTATCCGTTCAACCTTGTTTCGTAATAAAACAAAAGTGTTCAAATTGCTATTATTATTATTATTATTATTATCCCATCTCTTCACCACTTTATGGGGTACGTACTTCCATGTACCCGAGACAGACCTTGTCCCCGAGGTACATAGGGCAGCAGCTATTTCCGGGATACATATTATTTTTAGTAAGTGCCACATGTAGTATAAAATTATTATTATTATTATTATTAAATATCTTAAACGTCAACATTTTGTACAGTGCCCGATACTGTGCATTACCACCGCATCCCATACCATCAGGTGGCAAAATTACTTAACACAGCTGACAGCTGACAGCTCAAGACAGATTTGTAAGGGGAAGAAACCGCCCCACGCCACATTAGCACTGCGATCTTATTTAGTGTAGAGACTGAGACGAACCACGAAAACACCTGTTTCCGGCCGAGATTCCAAGTGGGTATCTTACAAACACAAAGCGTTACACCTTGATTCGGTCAACGACTATTTGTGTAGAGAATCTTACGAAAATCACGGAATAGCTGTCGATGTCGACGGACGAGAAGGTCAGATTCGCCAACGAATTAAAAGCAAACGGAACCAAATACGAAACTGAGCAAATCGCTGGTAAGGACCGGTTTGAGTGGGGGAGAAACAGATGATGCAGGCAGCAAAGACCTCTGAAACGTCGGTAAACTTCTACCAGACTGAACGGCGCAAAAAACCCCAGAAGACAGCCTTCTTCAGAATCTTCCATACTCGCTCACCTCGCACTAGACTTCATTCGATCAAGATGGCTGACCTTGATCGGAATTCTGGTTTTGCCAGTCGGAGAGCCCGCCTCTGGCGTCGCTTGGCCGGCAAGTCCGTCGACACCAGAGTCTGCGTTCCGAGGATCGATTCTCGATCCGAGAACGTTTTCTTCAGTCACTCCAGGAATAGTACCCTAAAATAGGTTAAGACTGATTCCTTACAGGTCCTGGCGTTGCTGCATCTACCACGACCACTGAGACAGTCTCAGTGAGATGGGAAGATGATCATGCGAACGGTAAGTACGAGTAAGTAGGGATTTGGAAGGCAGTCGCCGCGTGTTTTGTGTTGGCAGGAAAGTAACCACAGAAGCCGCACAGGGCAGAGGTGGTCCGAACAGCTGACGCGCTGTTTAATCGACCACGGGGTCAATCAAACAGCGCACAGCCGTCATTAGCTCAGCATCCGAAAGGTTCATCACGGTCATAATAAAATTCGGCTGTCACAAATGAGACAGGCGACAAACATCTGCTCTACCGACTGACGTCAGACTCGTTACACGCTCAGGAACTTGACACGAACAGCCGGTCCGACTACGCTTAAGAACAAGAGCGCAGGCCACTCCCACCTTACGACATTTCGCCTGTTCTCTAATTCAGGCCGCGATAAGATAGAGCAGGTCCGACGTCGGACTCCAGTAGTGATTCACCTGCCCAGCAATCGACATGTCCCGTCGCTCGGTGAGTGAGGTTTGGTCACACCATTCACTAGTTATTTCACGTCTGAAAGATTTGAGCAACACGAAGAATGTCAGCTGTTCGCGGATCTCCGTCGGAAGGGAACGTGCCAGGTTTCGTAAATCTCTGACATTCGCTCTGGAGACGCTGAGAAAAACCACGCTACTTCGAGACACGCAACCGTGCCCAAGATTCGAACTGGTTATCTCCTGAACAGAAGTCGTAGTGTTGCTACGTTACGGTACGATTATCCAAAGTGCACCGACCCGTATTTTGGTGCTGGAATCCATCCGACGATCGTGAGGTTACGCAAGTCTAATCAGCGCGCTTTATCTCGTTATCAGTCTCTGGCTGCAATCGGTACACGCTATCAGCTCCGGACAAAGTCCACTCCTTCCAGTGAAACATCACATGCTCTGAATATTTTTCATTTGTCATCGACAGACGCAGATGACATTTCGCACTCTGAGGCTTTGAAACTCGGCGCATGGCGTCATTGCGTTACTCGCACTCGCGTAGCCATTTTGAATTAAATTTAAATGAAAAGCGATTTATGCAGATCGCTTGGTCGTCGGGCCCAAGATATTCTTGGTTAAAATCGCCTATGACAACGCAAAACATCGTCATCCTTTCCTCTGACGTAATTTCTATGTGCACGTGCGATGCATTCGATCTGCTGTTAACTGACCCCGTAGAACAGAGCCGTTCTGGAGAAACTGATAATCGATTAATTCCTCGCCGTTCATTGAACCCAAATGATCGGTGCTGTTTTCACAAGAGCCAAGGGATTCTGTTCCGGTGTAAATGAATCCAGTCCACAGCCCCCTCCCCCCAATCGCTTTCTCCCCATTAACATCCATCTTGACATTATCCTCTCATTTGCTCTGAGGTCTCCCGAAAGGATTTTCCCTGCAGCTTCTCCGACAAAAACTCTCTCTCTCCCGCCTACTACGAGCCCCCAGGCCTTGCTTCGGTTACCGGAAACTACAGATCGTGAAGCGTCCTCCACTGGATTCTATGTCAAACAGAATCATGTTTCCTTCTTGCAGCAACTCACGGCTGGCGCCGTGGCCACCATGGCGACTGTCACTGGTGGGATGTCGCTTGGGTTCTCCGCCGTGGCGCTACCAGCCATGCAGACAACAAATCACCGCCCGCAGGTGTCGGAAGACCAGGCTTCCTGGATAGGTGAGGATCATAGGCCATCATACACAGTCTGAGGGCCACTGACGGCTACTAACCGCGTCTTTCGACTCCACAGCTTCCCTGGCCGCCATCGCAACACCAGTCGGGTGCTTGGTGACGGGCGCACTCCTGGAATGGCTGGGGCGCAGGCGCACTCTGATGGTGGTCAACACGCCCGCTGTGCTAGGCTGGCTCCTCATCGCCACGGCCTCCAGCAGCGAGCCCTGGTTCCTCTACCAGGTGTACGCGGGTCGACTCCTGACGGGACTCGCCACCGGCATGTCGAGCTCGCCTGCTACCGTGTACGTCAGCGAAGTGGCGGACAGGTCGCTCCGAGGGACGATGGTCACGTGGTCCTCAGTAGGTGAGTGAGCCACTGTGCGCCACCGCCGCGATTCACTGGTCGGGTACAACAACTCGCTCGCTTGTTCCAGGCATCTCCCTCGGCATCTTGCTGGTCTACGTACTCGGGGCCCTGTTCCCGGACAACTGGCGCCTGGTGGCAGGCATCACCACTTGCCTGCCAATCGTTTCCGTCGTGGCGGCGTGGTTCTTGCTGCCCGAGAGCCCCGCGTGGCTCATGTCGCGTGGCAGGGTTCGGGAGGCCGAAGTCTCCATGAGACGCGTCAGATGTGTGCCCCGGAAAGTCAGCCTGCCGCAGAACTTGCAGCAAGAACTCAACGCCATGACGACGTCCACGGCACAACAGGACGGCGGCGCCAGCAGCCGTAACTGGAAGGACACGCTCAGCTTCCTCAGGAGACCCGAGGCCTACAAGCCGCTCCTCATCATGAACGCCTTCTTCTTCTTCCAGCAGTTCTCTGGCATATTCGTCGTCGTGTTCTACGCTGTTGCCATAGTCCGGGAGACGGGCGTTCACTTTGACGGCTACCTAGCAACGGTGCTAATAGGAGTCAGCCGCCTGGCAGTGTCAGTAGCCATCAGCTTTGCGTCCGCGCGGTGCGGGCGGAGGGTTCTGTGCAACGTCTCTGGGGTCGGCATGACGCTGTCAATCGGGGCGCTGGCCGTCTATCTCACGCTCACGCACGATCGCATCCTGAGCCGCGAGGCCCACGGCTGGTGGCCGATCTCGGCCCTCGTGCTGTACATCCTGATGAGCTCCGTGGGATTCCTGACGCTGCCCTGGGCCATGATCGGTGAGGTGTTCCCCGCCAGAATACGCGGACCGGCCTGCGGGGTCACCACCTGTCTCGGCTACCTGTTCAGCTTCGTCGCCTTGAAACTGTACCCTGGGATGAAACACCTGTGGGGAATCCACGGGCTCTTCACCGTCTATACCGTCGTTGGGCTCGTCGGCACAGTGTCCATGTACGCCTGTCTGCCAGAGACGCAGGGTCGGACACTTGAACAGAT